CATATTTTCACCAACCATACCTGTGAGGATGTTTGGTTTCCTCTGAGGATCTTAGAACTCATGCAGGTTCACATCAGGAGATACAGTGGTCCTTCCACATTTGCTGAGGTTAGGGGTGAAGGGCCCCCATAAATGTGGAAAAATGCAAATAAAAAACAATATTTTTTTTACCTAAGAAAAGACTTCTCTGGGAATCTCCAGGTCCTCCAGTGCAACTCTATGGTCAACATCTGCCAGAAGTTAATCACAGAATCCTGCTGAAGGACCTAGAGAAGTCTTTTCTCTAGGAACTTATAGGTTCCCCAGCACAACTATATGGTCAACCTCTGGCAGAGTTGCGCAAGAGGACTTAGAGATTCCTAGAGAGAACATATGAATCAAAAGTGCAAATAATTAAATCCACAAAAGTCAAAGTGGCAAATGTGGAGGGCCAACTGTACAGTCTTTTGGACAAGCTGGCCCCAAATCTAAGGAAATTACTAACTGTCCCCTTCTCCTCCACTGGCTTTGAAAACTGGGATGGCTCTTTGTAAAGCCACTCAAGATTTCATATGAAAGGACAAAGGACAGGAATTACCAAGATTAGCCCTGTTAGCCTGGGATATCAGTACGCAAAGGGATCTTGTAGCATCTTTGAGATAAACTGTGAGAAATAAGTTATAGCACAAGCTTTCAGAAAACAAAAATAACCACCACAGAAGATCTACAAGAATTAATCCTAGATAAGAGGAAAATTGAAACAGTCAAAGAGTTCCCAATATTCCCAAATATTGATCAGAACAGAGACTGCAGTCAAAAAATCCGGAGAAGACTAGGATTGGGAAGGGCAGCTACAAAGAATTGGGCAAGATCCTAACTCGGAATACTAAAGTGAAGATAGTCCAAGCCAGGGGTAGGCAACCTTTCCCCTTTAAGGGATGAGGGACTGCAGCTCCCAGAATGCCAGGAGCTATTGGCCAACATGGGACTATTGGCCAACATGGCTGACGCTTCTGGGAGCTGAAGTCCCTCGGCCCTTAAAGGGGAAAGCTTGCCTACCCCTGGTCCAAGCCATTGTCCCCCCCATCACCCTGCACAGATGGATGGATGGGAGAGCTAGATAGGAAGAAAATAAACTCATTTGAGATGTGAGCAGAGTAATGAAGATACCATGGATGGCCAAGAAGACAAACAAATGGATTCTAGACAGAGTCTTTGGCCACATCATGATTAAGACATGAATCACTGGAAAAGACAATGATGCTAGGAAAGTTGGAGGCCAGTAGAAAATGAAGAAGACCACATGCCAGATGCTTAGACTTGAGCCTGCAGGACCTAAGCAGAGCGGTAGAAGGCAGGTGGTCTTGGAGATGTCTCATCCACAGGGTCACCACAAGTTGAGCTTGACTCGAGGGCAGTTAACAACAAGAAGTTTTCATAGACTTGGTCTACTTGAACTTGGACTACTTCCTCAGACCAAGTCTACAAAAACTTATGCTACAACGAATTTTGCTCAGATAGTCTCAAAGGTGCTGCAAGATCCCTTTGCATCATGATTAGATAAACAGACTTGTCAAAAGAGTTTTGCTGTACCTTTTTATTTCCAGCCAGTTAGTTAGTTGCATGAGGAGTCTCAGGTTGCTGCAAGGATGGCCTGCGCACCTGGCTAACAATATAGGCTGCTTCCAGGCAACAACTGGCCAACCAATTGGGCTACTTGCCCTTTTATAATGCAATTGCCCCGCCTCATTCCCAAAATTTTACAAGGTGTCCAGATGATATCATCTTTCTTTTGTATGTCCTGTCCATGTTCTCATGGCTTCTTCCATCCTTTCTCTTATCAGGAACTAAAAATCTACTAAGAAAGGGGAAAAAATTGAAAAAGCTGCACGCTGTCATTTCATTACGAGAAAGCCCACCTCCTTTTGGATCAGAGAATGAATCACACAGCCATCTAGGTGTGATTGGATTACAACTCCAAGCAGCCCTCGTTAGCACAGTACATGGTGAGGAATGCTGGGAGATGCAGTCCAACTGGAGGGCTGCACAATTCCTGTTCCTGACTTAAATAACTTGTTTTTAAATATTTGTTTTCTGCTGCTCCAGAGACTAAGACATGAACCAATGGATTCAAGTTACAAGGAAAGAAATTCTAAATATTAGGAAGAACTTCCTGAAGGTAATTGTTTGATAGTAGATCAAACTGCCTCATACGGTAGTAGATTCTCTTTCTTTGAAGGTTTTTAAACAGCGGTTAGATGTCCATCTCTCAGAAATCCACTGCATGGTGGGGGTAGGACTAGATCAGCAATACCAAAACTTTGATCCTCCAGGTGTTTGTTCTGGACTTTAACTCCCAGGATTCCTGGACATTGGCTATGGGGACTGGTTTTCTGGGAATCAAAGACCAAAATACATGGAGAACCAAAGTTTGGGAATCTCTGGACTAGACGGTCCTCAGGGTACGTTCCAGCTCTGATTCTATGGAAATTATGGCCATCAGTGGCTACTATCGCCCTTCTACACAACACAATTATATCACTATGCCTGTAGCACAATTGTAGTACTACAAATCCTGAGGACTGTAGTAAGAGAAAGGACTAAATAACCCTCCCTAATAGCGTCACCTTATAAATGACTATAATAATAATAATAATAATAATAATAATAATAATAATAATTTATACCCCGCCCCTCTGAGAACAATCAGGGCGGCTAACAGCATATTAAAATGCATATTAAGGGGGGGAGGGTTGTTATGTGAGGGATTGTTCCTAAACTTGTTGTTTTTTAATATGTTGTAACCCGCCCCGATTGCTGAGCAGAGGGGTGGGCTATAAATAAAAATTTATTATTGTTGTTATTATTATTATTATTATTATTATTATTAAAATTCCAATACAGTCAATATAATCAAACCCCAAACTTGACTTGAAGGCACACAACAACAACAACTACAACAACCAACAACCAAGATTCCTTAAGACATAACCATGGTAGATGAAGTGTAATCACAGCACTATAAGTATGTAGTGTGAAAGGGCCAATAGTCCCATTCTTATGGAGCCATGGGATCTGTAGTTTTGTGCAGCATTTAGAATTCACCAAGCCTTGTCTTCCAGTTGCTCCACTGCTACCACACTGCAGAAATAAAGCAGTCTGACTCCATTTTAACTTCCATGGCTCAAAGCCATGGCATTTGTAGTTTGGTGGAGGCACCAGAGCTCTCTGACAGGGAAAGCTAAGTATCTTATAAAACTACAAATCCCAGAATTCCATAGCACTGAGTCATGGCAGTTAAATTGGTGTCAAATTGCTTTATTTCTGCAGTGTGGATACACCCTGTGAGAAACAGAAGGCTGGACTAGGTAGACCTTTGGTCTAATCCAGCACAACTCTTCTTGGATTCTCATTTGGAAGCATTTTTTTTAAAAATCTGGTAAATATAGAGATGGAAGGGACCCCAAAGGCCATCTAGTCCATCTCCCTTTAGAGGTAGTCTGTCCTTCACTTGGACAACACCTATCATCAAACTTATAGTCGAGTATACATGGTATATACATTCCAAAAAGCAAAGCTTGATTTTGCAATTTTATATAAGGTACACCATTTCACTATGCCATTGTACTTAATGGGACTTGAGCATCTATGGATTTTGGTAGCGGGGTGTGTGTGTCCTGCAAACAAACCCCAGCAGATACCAAGGGCCCACTGTACAGTGATCCTAGGTCTTCTCATGATCTCAAAACTATATCTCTCTTGTGCCTTCTATCCTGGAGAAATCTAAACCAAGATATAAGATTTCTGTATACTCAACAAAGCTACCAAACAAGCCAACAGCTTCAGGACTGAACAGGGCCAAAGACAGAAGCTGAGTTCCTACAAAAGACCACCAAGCCTTGTCCCCCAATTCACATGCATTGAACCTCATCCCCACATCTATCAACCCTTGTCCTTGAAAAGAGC